CCTGCCGCAAGACCCCCCGGCACCACCGGCTCCAGTTGGACCCCTCAGAGCGGGACCATCACCACCAGCCTCCAGGCTGCAGGGTGCTCAGCCCGGAGCCCACCCTCTGGTTCATCTCTTGGGAGGCAGCTTTGGGTCCCACAGCCCCTTTTCCAGCGGGGAGGGATGGGTGCTGCTGGGTGCCCAACGCTGACTCTGGAGTTGGCCAACGCTTGGGTGCAGGGTCCAGACGCGTCGCGCCCCGCGCCGGGCTGTGCCCATGCACAGGCAGCAGTAACCAGCAGAGGGCAGCAGATGGTCGCAGCCATCCCACTGCTGCTTGGGCAGAGGATGCCCCAAAATCACCTCTCACCCCACCCTGCTTCTGCTGGGCCTTGCTCCACCACCTCCTCCAGCCTTCCTCATGCCCTCCGGATGCACAGCCCCAGCGATGGCCGTCCCGGTCTCCCCGACACTGCAGACGTTGGTCCCTGTCACCCCTCAGCTGCTCTCGGGTGAACAGCGCAACCTCAGCACCCACTGCAAACCCTCAGGGCAAGGTCCCCATCCCAGGACGCTGCCCACGCTGTCACCTGGGACCTTTAGGGCTGAAAGGTCAGCAGGGACCCATCAGCCTGGAGAAAAGAGGGCTTGGGGAGACCGAACTTCAGTTTTCCACTACCTAGAGAAGGGCCGTGGAGCAGGGAGATGCAGCAGTGCATGGCAAAAGGCCAAGAGACAGCAGGCAGTGGTGCCACAAGGGAAACCACTTCACAGAAGGGAAACAGCCTCCTCCGGGTGTATGGTCCAACGCTGTGCCAAGACCCATAGTGGTGGGACCTCCATCCTCAGAGGGTTTCCAGACCTGACTGGACAACTGGCTCTGCTCAGCCTGGCCTCTGGAGCTAGCCCTGCCTTAAGCAGCAGGTTGGACGTGAGACCCCTCCAAGGCCCTTCCACCCTCCGTCTTTCCATGACCCCATGAAACCCAAATCCGGCATCTTCTCCTGGTGTTGACCAGGTCGCCAGGAGCCTTTACGGGCTCCATCACACTTGCAATATGTCAGTACCTCCCCTCTCTCTGCCACAACCTCTACAACTACGGGAAGCAGAGACTAAAGCAAGACTTGCTCCAGCTTTACTGAACAGCAGCGTTGCTTGGGTGCAATCCCTGCCTGTGGCACGTCCAGCTGAAATGCTGCTGCGTAGCACCCACCCCACGCTCATGGAGAAAGCAGGCAGCTTCCTGACACCACCTCACCAAACCCCAACCTCACACCCCAGAGCAGTGGGACCAGCTAAAATCTGGGTCCCAGGCTGGGAAACCTGGGGAGGGGGTGTTTTCTGGAGATGTTCAGAGATGTTACGCCCCATCGCAGCTTCACAGACACCGTGTGGAAACGGAGGGTGGGATGAAGGGGAGAAAGTGCTTAAGTTGATAAAGGAGCCCAAGTCCTGCCCCACGAAAGGATTTCTGCCTCTGTTGTGCTTCTCAAAACACTACCTGTCTCATTTACTCAAACACAACATTTATGACTTTAAAAAAAACCCAAACTAAATTCCCTGTGGAGTTCATAACTCCCAGCTGCAGCAAGGCTCATCTTCTGCGTATGTCACACTGGTCAAACCAGAGAATCACAGAAAAGAAATAAAGAGCTGAGATGAAAATGAGTTAAACCTGGGAAGCTGCCAAAGTGACGGCTCAATGATCCACCGTGCTCCTACAGCTTCCGGGAGCGGGTGAAAAGCTGCGAGTTCTGCACTGCTGGGCACGCCTGTTTGGGTGGGCGCCACGGAAAGGCACCGACAGGGGCTTGGGCAGGGCGAGCGGGCAGCCTGGCTCCTGGTCCCTCACTGCGAGTGGATGAGCGCCCCGGCGCCTTGCCCGAAGCCAAAGCCCTTGGGACCGAAGTTCTTGGCGTAGCAACCTGCAGAGGACGGGAAGGGAGAGACGGGTAAGGCCAGCAGCGGAAGACGAGCAGGTCCTCCTCCCGAATCGGGCATTGCCTGAGCAGGACAGGGTTTGCCATATTTGTTGGGCAAACCGAGAGGCCCCAGGCACAGCAGGAAATCCCCCGGCTCCCGTCCCCTTTCCCCACCACCTCCCCAGTGCTCAGTCCCATCCCGGCTGGAGAGCAGCTCTGCGGAGAGGGACTTGGGCGTCCTGGTGGACGACAGGGTGACCATGAGCCAGCAGTGTGCCCTGGCTGCCAAGAAAGCCAATGGGATCCTGGGGTGCATCAAGAGGAGTGTGGCCAG